TGTCATTACAATGCGAGCCTCATCCTGCAAGCTCCATCCAGGGGCCTCTCCTACGGCCACGATCCAGCCCCCTCCCCCCTCCCTCCCTACACCCAGCAGAGGGCAAACAAAAGACACATCTACAATCAGGGAAATCACAGGGCACCCGGCTGCTGCATGCCATGCCAGTCCGTGCCTGGACCCAGAGAGCCAGCGATCACAACCATCACACATCCACCCAGGCTATAGGGAGCTAGGCTGGCTGGGTACAACGCTACAGCACAGGCAGGCGACATACACTGCAAGGGGATCATTGGGAAGCTGTATTGACAGCAATGGCGCCAAGGTGACCCATCAAATATATCATTAATCATCGATGAGCAAATCCTCTCTCCTCTGAGATCTACTTTACTCTACATACATGTTACAGGGATTGAACATACATGTTACAGGGGTTGTACATACATGTTACAGGGATTGTTTATGATGACCTGGATTGCAAGATCGGGAAATGGTTATTTAAAAAGTACATCGCTAATTAATTATAATCTTCAAACTATGGGGTAGTGAGTTCTTGCTGGTTAACCATCTCTCAAAGTATAATAAGTACATACTTCTCCCACATTATAGTAAATACAGACCTCCTCCTAAGTATAGTACATACATACTTCTCCCACAGTAGTAAATACAGACCTCCTCCTAAGTATAGTACATACATACTTCTCCCACAGTAGTAAATACAGACCTCCTCCTAAGTATAGTACATACATACTTCTCCCACAGTAGTAAATACAGCCCTCCTCCTAAGTATAGTACATACATACTTATCCCACAATAGTAAATACAGACCTCCGCCTAAGTATAGTACATACATACTTCTACCACAGTAGTAAATACAGACCTCCTCCTAAGTATAGTACATACATACTTCTCCCATAGTAGTAAATACAGACCTCCTCCTAAGTATAGTACATACATACTTCTCCCACAGTAGTAAATACAGACCTCCTCCTATGTATAGTATAATTATAAATCCCCCAAGGTATAGTAAATACATGCGTTCTACTTGGTAAAGTACATATACTGTATACCTCTCCCACAGTATAGTAAATACATACCTCCCACGAAGGAAAATATATTTATATCTCCCTCTTAGTATACACATACCTCCCACAAAATATGAAATAATAATACAAGGTACCCACACTACTAATTCATCTTCCCCCATTACTAATCAAAATAATAATAAAATAAGATAAACCACTACTGCTAAAAATAATAATGAGTTACCAGCCACTGCCAATAATAAACATAATAATACTAATGATAACATACCACTACCAACACTGCTACTAGTAATAATAATAAACAATCTTCCACCACTGCTACTAATAACAATAACAACAATAATACGATTGTTATACATTCACTGATCTGATAATAACAATAAAGATAATAAAGCACTATAAACATTGCTATCACAAATTACAATCTTCCACCATTGCAAATATGAATACAAATTAGATAGCGGACAATGATGATAATTATTATTATTATTATTTACTACTAATAACACTGCTATTAATAATAATTAACAATCTTCCACCCATACTGTAATAAGTATTCATTATTAATAATAATAACAATCATAATAATGATACAAATAATAATAATAATATATGGTTACCCCTACTAATATCACTACTACTAATAATAATTAACAATGTTCCACCACCTTTGCTAATAAGATTAATAAATAATAATAATACGATACCACTACTAATACTAATAATTTACAACCTTCCACCACCACTGCTAATAATAATAATAATTTAAAAAATGAGATACCATCTGCTAATAATAATAATAATAATAATACAACAAAACTGCTACTATCACTGGTACTACTAATAATTCATCTTCAACCACTACTGCTAATAATAAAATATGAACAATAATGGAATACTACCACTACTTTAATATTAAAATATGGACAATAATGAGATACCACCACTACTACTAATAATAAAATATAAACAATAATGAAATATCACCGCTACTTCTAATAATAATATATGAACAATAATGGAATACTACCACTACTTTAATATTAAAATATGGACAATAATGAGATACCACCACTACTACTAATAATAAAATATAAACAATAATGAAATATCACCGCTACTTCTAATAATAATATATGGACAATAATGAGATATCACAACACTTCTAATAATAATATATGAACAATAATGAGATATCACAACACTTCTAATAATAATATATGGACAATAATGAGATACCACCACTACTTCTAATAATAATATATGGACAATAATGAGATACCACCACTACTTCTAATAATAATAATAATATATGGACAATGATGAGATACCACCACTACTACCAATACTAGTGGCAGCAGACACAGACACATGCTGCCATTACCTGGCTATACCATGCACTGCTAATAATAATAATAATACTAATAATAAAAACTGCTAATACCACTGCTAATACCACTGCTACTACTACTAATTATTTTTCAACTGCCTAATAATAAAATATGAACAATAATGAAATACCACCACTACTTCTAATATTAAAATATGGACAATAATGAGATACCACCACTACTTCTAATAATAAAAGATGAACTACAATGAGATAACACCACTACTTCTAATAATAAAAGATGAACTACAATGAGATACCACCACTACTTCTAATAATAATAATAATTAAAAAAAGATGAACTACAATGAGATACCACCACTACTAATAATAATAAAAGATGAACTACAATGAGATACCACCACTACTTCTAATAATAATAATAATAATATATGGACAATAATGAGATAACGCCACTACTGCCAATACTAGTTACAGCAGACACATAGTAGAGAAGTGTTCATCATGCTGCCATTACCTGGCTATAAGTAGCTGGTTCAGCCACTGTGACAGGTTCAAGTCTCTGAAGGTCCATCTTCTCAGCAGATCCCAGTCCATCCACACTGCCCATGCTGCTGCTCTCACTGCCGGACTCACTGAGCCCATCAGAACCAGTACCAGAACTGCCCCCATCCATCTTCTTACTTCCATTTCTCTTGCCAACACTCAGTGACTCAAAATTGATGGTCTTGTTCTCAAAGGCCCCCTCCACGTTGCAGAACATCCCCCCATATTTCTGCCTGGGCTTTGGACTTTCTGAACCCAGCTTAGAGAAGTAGCTGGGCACTTCTTCCAGGACTTTGTCTGTCTTCCCCCTGTATGCCATGTCTGCTGGTTGTGCAGGCTCTCTGCAGGTTGTCCGCTGTGATAATGTGAAGTGAAGTGTGCTCCTGGTCTGCCAGGCTCAATTTGAGGAAGGGACCACTGTCTACAACGTGTCACATAACCCCCTGAGGCTAGAATACCCCAGCTGGCAGCTCCATTTAGGGCTGACTGAGCTGTCCAATGGGTGTGGTGCTGAAGTGGTGCGAATTACACCGGGGAGCTGGCTGTGTGAAGGCTGAAGAGAAATTGTATATTTGTAGAAGATCATTATTGTATTTATAAACACTGCTGTTTCCAACTTCTGCCATTGCTCTTTAATTGTTACACTGAAGAATAATGAAATACTTTTTTACTCTCTGAGAGCAACATTAGGACATTTTCAATGCATTTGTAAGTTTCTTTCCTGGTTTGTCAAATGTGTTAGCATTGGAGAAATTGTCAGTTATACTTTGAGGGAAATTCATTAAAATTGGAGCAGACAAAATCTGGAGCAGTTGCCCATGGCAACCAATCAGCATCTCTCTTCTTTTGTCAGGTAAGATTTGGAAATGAGACAGAGAAGCTGATTGGTTGCAGTGCAAATCTGCTCCAGATTTTGTCTGCTCCAGTCTTGATAAATTCCCCCATTGCATTTACTCCACTCTATTGTCATTCTGGCATCGCTCTTTAAGGCCTCATTCACACTGGTTACGTGCGGCCCCTACAGATCTGTGCTTCGTGCACAGCCGTATCAGGCAGCTCCCGGGAAGGACAGGTGTTGCGTGTGATTTCTACACAGCAGCCTGTCCTTCTCTATGGGAGTACGCGTCCGTATGCCCCCCTACGGTAAACCGACCTGCACGTCCATACGGGTGCGGGTGTCCCTGCTCGGATGCAGACAGGATCCATCCTGTACGGACATCCGCACCCGTACGGACCTGCACTTGGGGTGACCGTAGAGGGGCGTACGGCCTCGTAGTCCCATAGAGAAGCACATGCCCTTCCCCGGGAGCGGCCCGATACGGCCGTGCACACAGCATGGATCTGTACCCGTGTGAATGAGGCCTAAATGTTGTATACTGTTTTTCTAATTCTTTGATTTGGAGCAACATTAGTAAAATGTTAATGTATCTCTAAGTTTCTTCCCAGGTTTCTGCGTTAGAGTGATATTGAAGTTAAAAGGTTTTTAAGTTATTTCAAATGCTGATGAAATCACTTGCAATGGATGCTGCTCCTTGATGTTTAAAAGTTTTAGTCCCCAGCAGAATCAGCTGGTCCCCTGAGCACTGGCCCTGATATCCTGTTTTAGGGTGGCTCCTTTCCCTTGCAGGGTCCTATGGAGTCACCTTTGTGTGTGCTAGTAAGCTCTGCGTGTCTCCTCTATACACACAAACACAGCAAGGCAAGCTGAGGTGACTTAAAGGCTAAGTTTACCTTTTGGACCATGTTGCATGTACCATCCATATTCAGGGTGTACTGTGAAACATGGTCTTGTTCTTCTCCCTGCAGGCTGCTCCTCAGCCGTGTCATCCATTCATTCATTTGACAGGATCTGTGAACGGAGAAACTGCAAGTCCCAAAAGCCACTGTTGGAGAGGGATTTGCAGTTCTCAATGGAAAACAAGTGCGGTGACATCACTGCACTTGTAGTCCATTTATTCTTCCTCCCGTCCATTTTACTTAATGTCTATACCCTGGTATGGACAGGGATGGGAGGGAGAAGCTGCAGGAGCCAGATCATTGCACCTGTGATCCACTAATAAACGTACATTGTTTTTCTTTTATGAAGATGTGTGCAATTATTATAATTTTTTTAAAGTGGAATATATAACATGACATAAAAAGCTGTCAAGGGTTCCTCTAAGTTGGAAATGAAAATGTTAAAGTGTTATTAACCCAAAAACAAACATCCTATACATTGCAGCTTACCAGTCCATAAATGTGGTGACTACATTAGGATTTCCCCCCTTTATTTTCATCTGTTGATCCAGCCAGTAACACACTTCCTGTCTTAGGGTGTCTTCACTCTATGAATCCACCGTTGGACCGCAGCGGTGAGGGATGTGTTAGATGGACTAGCACATTTACAGGGTTATTCACTAAGCTGCTGTGTGCAGACGAGTGAATAACTGAGCCGTAGTGAAGTGAGCCGAACAACGTTCGGCTATTCACACCACCAGTGGCACACAGCAGTGAGGACCCAGCAAACTGGAAACAGATGAAGACAGAAGACCGTCCAGAAGAGGTAAGGGGGGGTAAATCATTAATTTAAATAATAATTATTTGTAGCCTAATGTTGTATAAAGTACTGTTGCAGAATGGCACCCTCTATAGAGGACTACAAATCTCAGCAGTACTTTATACAGAAATGCTATTGTTATATAAAGTATTGCTGGGATGTGTAGACCTCTATAGCCTGTGGCATTCTGCATTGCTGTAAATATTAGGGCTGCACCGATAAATCGGCTGCCAAAAGGTATCAGCCGGAAATGGCACTTTTGGCCAAATGCCAAAAGTGCAATTTTTCTGCTGATACAGCAGCGCATCCGTGCTTTCTTTCCTCCCCGCTGGGCGCTGCTCTGTGTCCCAGCAGGGAGGAGAGAAAGTGACAGCCGGCCGAGCGCTGCGGGAGGAGAGCGCTGTGTTTGTGGCTTTTTTTTGGGGGGGGCCCAAAAAAAATCTTGCACCAGGGCCCTTTGTTCCTTAGCTCCGCCACTGCAGCAGCCCTTCCAGCAGCTGAAGCTTCGGCTGATCCTTCAGCAAGCTCTGTGAATAACCCCCTTAGATGGACATGACTAACAAATTAAAGCTAAAGTCCAGCTAACACTTTTTAAGCAGTTACAGCAACAGTTTTTCCATGTTAGGAGAAAGGTTTTACATGAATGAATAAAATCTGCCTACTGTAAGCACCCCTGTCAGTGCTAAATGGTTTGTCTCAACCCTCTATATGCCACTTTTTCTGGACAGCTTGGCCTGTTAAAGGAAGTTGAAAAATAACAGATTTACTGGCCGTATCAGCAGGTGAAAATCAAGAAAAATAATCCTAAAAAAGAAAACTAATGCAGCTCCACATCTAAAGATTGGTAATGTGCAATATATTACATTTTTGATTTTGGGTATTGATATACTTTAATAATGGAATGATATTTGCACCACCAAAAATTGAAAAGAAAGATGGTGTTACCTATGGCAACATCATTGCACGTCTATTTGCCAACTTGCTTTTCCAGCTACCCTAAACCTCAATACCAAAGAGGTGCTCTTTGCTCTGCTTCTCAGAAGTGCAGTGATTAAAATATGACCGTTGCTGCTACATTTCTTTGTTTGTGCTACTGTTCTTTGTTTGGAGCATTGAGCCCAAGCCACCACTCACTGCCTTAAGTATTGTATTCATGGCTCTAATGTCTGTCTATACCATTGAGCTTAGGGCCCTGTTCTGTATTTGAAGAGGTGGGCTAGTGCCGCTTCTCTGTAATAGAGACTATAGGGTCGATTTACTAAAGGTAAATAAGCTGTTCACTGTCAGGGAGTTTGCACTTTGCAGGGGAACTTTCCGTCAGCTTAGTGAATGTGGTGCAGATAATACCCAATCTTGTGCAAGGAAAAAAAAAAAAACATTATTTTTGCTTGCACATGATTGGGTGATGGAAGTCAGCAGAGGTTCATCTCATTCACAACGTCTTCATTAAGTCTGATCACATTTTTTTTCCATTGGATCAAACAATGTGTTTGGCTGTTAGGCTTGGGCAGCATATGGATATTTCTATAGACATATGACATCTATTTACATAAATACACATTAAGCTGCAAAGGGTCAAAAGAAACTAAAGACATGTTGATTTAATGGTGCCTTAGTGGTGACTGGTGACTGACAACATCTATTCATCCATTATATAGGAACAGCCATGTTTTTAATGCCAATACTTTATTTATGTTTACCTTGGCTAAAGATCTCTTATGCAGGAGGAAATGTGTACTGCATAAATTGTGGGTAAGCTAAGTGGTCAGTCCGGAAACAAATGAAATAAAGTAGACCTACTTTTCGTATTTAAGTTGGGTTTTAAGTTCTGGACCTTGTTGGCTTCCAAGTAGCGCAGATGTCTTCCAAGTATCATAGATAAAATTACAGTGCCCCTTCTAAAACCCAACTCCAGGAAAACCTTTTTTTTTGTATAGAGTGTGGGAGGGTTAAAACTAGGGATGCACTGATATTGAGTATGATACAGAGTGCTGATACAAGTGCTTTCACTGGCATGAAGCCGGCTTCCCGGGCAATCCGGAAGCTGGGTGGCTCTAATGACATGCTACCCGGCTTCCTGATAGCCTGGGAAGTCATCTCCATGTTGTTTGACTGGCTCGATTGTGATTGGCTGGAAAACTGGCTTCCCAGCCAAACAGCATCGAGCCAGCTTCCTGGACAATCAGGAAGCCCGGCGGTGAGTTATTACCCGCCTCCTGGCTTCTGGATTGGCTGGGATTGCAGCTTTCCAGCCAATCAGCATAGAGCTGGCTTCCCGGCCAATCAGGAAGCCCTGGGGTGGGTCATTACTTACGGCACTGCCGGTCAGAGAAAGATTTCCTCTGACCAGAAGTTCCGGTATCGGGGTAGGTATCGGAGCATTTCGGTGAGTACAAGAACTCACCCAAATACTTGGCATCGGCACCCATACCGATACTAGTATCGGTATCGGTACATACCTAGTTAAAACCTCCATTAGATTTTTATTGCCATCTGTATCTCTGTTGGGGAGGTTTTCCCTCACGTCCTGTGATGAGAGGTTAGTAGTAAATTTCTCCAGACCATTCTGAAGTCTGTTGAAAATGTTAACACCTTTTGGCTGAAGATCTCCTGTGAACATTCACTAATTAAAAAAAAAAAAGAAACTCTAAACCAAGAAAAACAACTTGCCTTTTCCTTCAGAAAAGGGAAGTTCTCTGGCTATCAGTCTGCTCTAGTGGTTCTAGAGGTTTTAGAGTCACTGAGCTGGACACAGGAATGCAGATGAGGAGTCTTGACTTCAC